TTTTATTTATATATTCATGATAGAGAGAAAGAGAGGGACGGAGGGAGAGAGAGAGAGAAATAGAGAGAGAGGCAGAGACACAGGCATTGGGAGAAGCAGGCTCCACATGGGGAGCCCAATGTGGGACTCCATCCCGGTCTCCAGGACCACACCCAAAGCTGAAGGCAGGCGCTAAACTGCTGAGCCACCCAGGGATCCCCCAGCATTAAAATTCTTAAAGCAGTGATTGCACCACTGGGAAATTCCTAGCTGAGTTCTCAAACAGTAAATAAATGAGAAGAAAAGTAGAGAGATTGGAACAAGCAACATGGTCTAGAAAATATGCCGTAAGATTCTTTTAGAAGCTTACATCTGTAATATGCACTTAGTGTGTTCTTTGGGAGTTCAATTTTATTTCATTGCGTGTTTTGCTTTTTGTGTGACGTCAATCTGAGCACCCAAAAGCAAGTTAATTTTCTACCTGGTGGGTAACGACATTATCTACACTGAAGAAAATATTACTAGACCTTCTAGATACTTTCTTCATTATGGATATTGCACAAAACCCACAAAGATATGTTGTGTTGTTTAAAGAAAGTACATAAATCTTTTGGCAAGTTCTATTACAAATCTTTTGGCAAGTTCTATTATACCTCGCAAGGACCCGATATTACATTATCTAAAACTTAAGAATAGAACTTAGTGCGGGTCTTGAATTCATCCACTATCATTGATGTACGCATAAGCTTTTTAAAATAATTTTCTCTGGGCTCAAAACTCAAGGTTGCACTCACAGGGAAGCTAACAGTAATGTCACTCTATGATTGCTGTCTTTAAAATGAGTCAAACTGACGAGGGAGATAAGTAATATTTAGGAAATCTAATAAAAAAATAAAAACAGTGACAGACTAATAAATACATAATTTCTTAGGCACCTAAAGGATAGTATGAGTTACAGATGAATAAAATGGTTTTTCTTTCTCTGTTTTTTACCTAAACCCTAATCCACACACCAAGTAAATACACAAAACCTCTGTAACACCTGACACAGGACTGTATTCCCTCAATAAGTAGATCTTCGAAATAACTTTAAGATTAAGCAAAAATTAATTCACAGAGAAGCAACTGCTCCATTCACATACTGAATCTGGAAATTCAGTTTATGAAATCTAAGACTCTTTTATGATCAGAAGGTTTGCTTTTCTCATTGCTAAGTGTGTGGCATTTTTTTCATTTTGTTATTAATGATAGAAACAAAGAGTCTGGAGGCTTTAAAAGAAGGGACTATTTAAAGTGATTTTCACACTGACCAGTGACTAATTCTCCTCTCATGAATATACCTTCATTTGTTCTGGTTCTCACTACAAATTATTGAGGAGATGCCAAGAAATAATGACTGAAGAAGTTTGTGTTGCCTCCAGAACTGTGATGACATAAAATTTCAGTTGTTTAAGCCAAAAATTTGTTTTAAGTATGCTAGTGGTTACTACTGAAGCTTGGAGGGAAAACAGAAGGAACTTGGACTATATAGATATAGATATATGATAGATAGATGCTAGATAGATAGATAGATAGATAGATAGATAGATAGATAGATATAGATGATATGGATATAGGTAGACTGTGGCTGGGGAGGGAGCAGATCGCCTGACAGAACCGAAGAATGGCTCCCAGCTGAGACCCTAGGACTAAGAGGGCCAAATGAAAAGTGAGGGAGAAAACAAGTGACCTACCCAAGGCCTGCATAGGGTACAAAGGACTCTCTCTCCCTCACCCCACATTGCAGAACAGCCTGTTCTCCAGGCATTGGTTCTCCCAATATTCTTCTATGAAAGCGATTGAAGAAGGCAGAGAACTAGGACAGCTAGAACAGAGGTTAGTGATCCTGGAGTAAAGCCTTCTCCATTCTGGCATTTAAGGACATATGAGAACAGACTGCCCATCTCATTTCTCTAAAGAGAAGCTCCAAATCAACAAATTATGCCACTTCACCAGACTTTTCAGATGTCAATGGATTACCCAAAGAAAGCATTAAACATTTAAGGGAAAGATCTAGACGTAGTGAGTAGACCTAGCAGAAGTAGTGAAGAGAAAGAATTCAGGAAAACAGAAGAGGACTTAAAATATAAACGTATAAAATATTGAAACCAAAGCCCTTTTTTTTCATTTTCACAGTTTTGTTGCAATATATTTTACATATACAGTTCACCCATTTAAAATGTACAATTCAATTTTTTTAGTGAATTTACCAAATTATGAAACCATCACCATAAGCCAGGTTTAGACCATTTTCATCACTCTGGTAAGATTCCTTGTACCCATTTATTGTCACTCTCCTTTCCCACTTGCTATCCCAAGCAACCAATTGCTTGTCTCTATAGATTTGCCTTTTCTGGCTACTTCATATACATGGAATCGTATAATGTGTGGACTCATGTCTTGCTTCTTCCACTTATGTTTGTGAAACATACTGAGGTCTGTTCATATGTGTCATTCACAATCAGAACTCTTAACACCCATCAGAAGAGAGTGGACATTACATCTATAATGGAAGAAAAGGATATAATGAGAGAGCAATAAACATAGGAAAATGGAAAGCATTTGGAAATTAAACATCTAAGGGCCAAAACAAAAATATATTGAAAAGAATGGAAGGTAAAGTTGAAGAAATCTCCTCCAGTAGTAATCACTAATAACAGGTTTGCATTCCCTCATTTCCTGTTTTTTTGTTTCCTATTCTGTGCACTTAGATATCAATTTTTTGAAGTTTTTAAAATAAAAATTATGCACACCACAAATAAAAATAATTTATATAAAGGGAGGTTGAAAAATACACATCTGCAAAAAGGAATGTTTTTTATCCAGAACAAGGCATATTGGTAGATATCATTATCATTTTGATCATCTTTATCAGATTGTATTTACAATCTTGTTTCCTTCTTTTCTCATTTAAGCTTTCACAACCATTCTGTTATCACATTGACTTTGAAAGCTTCACTTTTAATAATTGCCACATAGTTCACCCAGTGGCCACGTAACTGGTTGAATCTTGACTTGTTAAACATTTAGTGCATTCTCACATTTTCAGATGTTTAAATAAATATATATATCACTGTGTATATGTTGTTCTAATTACAGACTATTTCCTTGGGTTAGATTGTCCAGTGAAATTTCTGGGTTGAAGATAACAGATACTTTTTAAGATCTCTGTTACATCTTAGCTAGTTATTTTCCATGAGGCTTATAACCTAACCATTCTACATGACAACTTGCACAGATTTGAAAGCAACACCTAGAAGTAATACATTTCTCATCAGCTTATTGACCATAATGTGCCAATCATAAATTATATAATATGACATTAGTACTTGAGTGACCAATGGGAATTTAATATTGGGATAGTGCTGAAAACACTTCCTTTAATTGCATTGTTTAGGTTAGAGTGGCCAGAAAATCCTATGGCGTCATAATAGCTTTATGTTTAAATATTTACCAATATAGACTCATCTTTCTACATACTCCCCGTATACACACACATGCACACAAGCATGAACACTCCACAATATTACTTATTAAATTTTCAACATGTTTACCAGCATGAACAACAACATAAGTCGTTGCTTAGGTGGCATTTCCTAAAATGCTATCCTCCCAGATTGGTTCAGATGTGCTTCTTAATATTTCCAGAATGCCCACCGTCTGTATCATTGTTCTTACCAGATTGCATTTAAATGAACTCCCAATTAAGATGAACTCTTTTTTTAAAACCATCAGTATATAAGTAACTCAAACTTTGATATTCTGTTTGATTCATATTTCCAGCCCAGGATCAAGTACATAATGCCTACCACATAATTTATTCACTGTTTATTTTTTATTTATTTATTTTTTAATTTTTATTTATTTATGATAGTCACAGAGAGAGAGAGAGAGAGAGAGAGAGAGAGAGAGAGGCATAGACACAGGCAGAGGGAGAAGCAGGCTCCATGCACCGGGAGCCCGACGTGGGATTCGATCCCAGGTCTCCAGGATCGCGCCCTGGGCCAAAGGCAGGCGCCAAACCGCTGCGCCACCCAGGGATCCCAATTCACTGTGTTTATTAACATGAACTGAACTTAGTTAAGTTGAGAAGAGTGTGAATTTAGCCCCTTTCAATAATTATTTTGCTGTTATTTCCTTGTTAGGAAATTGTGCATTCAGAAATACTTCTCTCATTTCTCTTTTCAAATTGGTTATCTAAATTGAAACCAAATTTAAATTTGAAACTAAATTTTTAAATTATTTTGAATTTTTTAAAAACTCAAAATATATACAGTTTAATTAAATTTAGGAAAACAAAATAAAAATTATCACTTGCAGATTTATTTAGCTAGCAAATAAGGGATTCCAAATTTGCAAATGTTTGCTTACTATATTTTGGAAATCCAGTTCTCAAGAAAAAAATCTTCTTAGAAATTATTGAAATAGAAAGCCTCTCTGTGCATTTGGAATATAATTTTCTATACCAATCTCATTGGGAATATGCGAACTACACGAGGCATGCCCAAAATGCATTCCTCAGGATCCTTGGTCCAGTTTTTCTTGATCTTAGAACTTTCTAGGCCAATGTTTGGGTTCACTTTGGTTTCTATCTATATCATATGATCTGCTTTTTGCTTTCCAAATTTTATAAAAATCTTATCTCATTATGGTTTCTTCCAGTATTCAACTCCACTGTGTATTTATGATTTCCTCTTCTACATTCTTATTGTTATTTCAGATGCATTGGAATGAGGGCCGAAGGATAGGCAACCTCAGTTCAGCTTTCCATTTGAACTAAAAGCTTTAACTATTTAACAAAGAATATTATTTTAAAGTTGAGTATTGTCCATTGGATATTACTGTCAGAAGAAATTTACTGATAAAATAGAAAACGCTGCCAATCATTGGTTGATCACACCATGACACTTTGTTAAAATTGTGAGTCTTAGCGGTCTTTGAACCAAAATTACCAAATAAATCTTTCTTTCTTGTTTTTATAGAGATTTGCTTGCTTACCAAGGGACGCCGTACTGCCAGTGTTCGAGCTGATACATATTGCCGTCTTTATTCACTTTCTGTGGACAATTTCAATGAGGTCCTGGAGGAATATCCAATGATGAGGAGAGCCTTTGAGACGGTTGCCATTGACCGACTAGATCGGATAGGTACTCTCTTCAGCTTTTTTTTTTTTTTAATTTTATTTATTTATGACAGAGAGAGAGAGAGAGAGAGGGAGAAGAAGGCTCCATGCAGGGAGCCCGACGTGGGACTCGATCCCAGGTCTCCAGGATCACGCCCTGGGCTGAAGGCAGCGCTAACCCGCTGGGCCACCGGGGCTGCCCTCTCTTCAGCTTTCTATCATTTTTGGTGTACAATTTAGTTATGCTCCAGTGGGCTGATACATGTTTGCAATTGTTAAGTCCTAAATGCTATCATAGGTTGCCTAATTAATTAGCATAGAAATAGCAGTTAGCTCTAGCCTTATTTCTACTAACTTTCTCTTCTCTAAGTATTCTGGGTTTATTTAATCATCTCTATTTTTACTAGCTGTTCAATCTGATTTCCCCAGTGATGCCAAAACAATTTGAATCTTCAGGTAAAAAGCAATGATAAAAATTTTAGGTAGCACTAAAATAGAACTAAAAATACAATAGTATGAGTCTGTATTACAAACCAAATAATTTTACCACAAGGTTTTTTTTTTAAAAATTTATGTATCAACTTTACATTTTTATCTTTATATTGAGAACTGAAAGCTTGTACACTTTAATTGTCTCAGTAGAAACTTCTCGAAATGTTTGTAATACAGACTCAAGCAGGAAAAGCCTTGATAGAAGTACCCTACATAGATGCTTTACTTTGTAAACATCAACTTATTTTAAAGTCTTCTCTGCTCTCAAATAAGAATATATAAATTAGACCTCATTAGTTACTCTAGTTTAAAGATTTGAGTAATTGCTATAGTAAAGTTAGATCAGATTGGCTTGCTATTAGCTTCCCAAGATATGCTGGAACATTCTAATGTCAGAAGGTGGTATGCATTCATTTTCTACACTTAAATCCTTTTTCCCCACCTTACCCTGCTCTGCCCCCTTTCCCTCTTAATTCTACTCCATCCCCTGTAGAATGCTTCTGTGATCTCCTACCCACTCCTACGCTGAATATCTTGAGTAGTTTCTCTCATGCTCCTAGGAATTTCCTCCATCACAATACTGCTTTTATTACTGTAACCGCTCTAAGGATGCTAAGATTCGTGAATGTAGAGGTCATGTCTAATTCACTATTAAATTCACAGTACCTAGTACACAATGAATATTCTTGAAGAGAGGTGGTAGGGAGGGATGAAGGAATCAATGATCTCAAAGGAGATGGGGTTGAGATCACTTGGAAGTAAACAAGTGCTTCATTCTTATTTAAGGTAAGGATTTTTTATTGATGTAGTCTTACGTCAGCTTTTCTTACGCACTTTGTGTCTTTCTTTCCTTCTACAGAAGTGGGATGACAGATGCATAGGGGCCTGAAATTAGATTAGGAGAAGTAAAGGTGGTATTTGGACATTATCATTAGACATAACACACAGATTAGAAAATCATACTGACAATTTAGACATGTAATAGGACATAGTGTCGAGACAGTGCCCATAAAAGTGGGTATTCCTGAAAGCATCTTTATTTAATTTGAAGATAATTACCTCTTTGTGGTATGTGAGTGCTCATGGTAGAGCTAGAGACTAATTTCTGAGCACATGAGTTTTTTCCTAAGCCAGCTAGATGTCTTCTAGAGAAAGCATTAAAATGAGGATATTTTAATAGAGAATTTATGTTAATCTGATACAGCTTCACTCTATTCTAACTTTTTCCAATTAATTTTTATAAGAAAATTTGCATGAAATGGCTTACAATCAATAATAGAGACAATAAAATTGCTAATAAGCACCAAGCATTTGCAGTTTTGATCCTTATAAAATTTGAACAGTGCATTAAAATTATAGTATTTCTCCACAAGTTCATAAATACTTGCATTATGAAATGTTGACTATTCACATGATCACAAAGAAATATTGTCCCTCTCCATTCTGTGTCTTTTGCTTATATATGTAGACATATTTAGTTAAGGCAATATGCTGAAACAGCATTTATATTTTTTACTAATATAGCAGCTTTTCTTCTTTAGAAATTTAAAACAGTTCTATAAGGAGAGACAAGCATTTATTTTGGAAGTCATTTAAAATGATAGTTTTCTAGCAGTAAATTATAACATATATTTCCATTAAAAAACATCCCTTCTAACTCTAACTTTATTTAGTAATATGGCAAATTGATTCACTTTTCAGTTACAATACTTATCCGGGAATTATTTTATCAATGATGTCACCAAAAATCGCTGATTTTTCCCTCTTTCATCAATCTAATTCTGATTCTATCGTTATCCTGCCAGAGAATGTCTACTTATTGCAAACCACTCCAAAGACAGTGGCAGTAAAGAGAAGTAATGCTTATTGAGATTCTAGAGGGAGCTGAGAACCTGCCATAAACCATACCCCTTAATCCTCACAAAGACCTTCCAGAAAATGGAATGGTTCTCAACCTGCCACGCATAACAATCCTCTGAGGAAATATGCTTCCAAAGTATTGAAATCTGGCTATTCTGATTTAATTGGTAGGCTCCAGACAAAAATCAGTATTTTTCAAAGCTCCAGAGATGAGAAGAATATGATTTGGGGGGGGGGGGGGGCGGAGATCACAGTTATAGGGCACTGGTCAAAAGTAAAGGACTTGCCACAGGGCTTCTCCAGTTTGCCTGTGCGAATCACCTGAGGATCTTAATAAAATGCAGCGCCCTGGTCAGCAAGTAGGATGGGGCTTAAGAGACTACATTTCTAGAAAGCACTCACATGATGCAAATGCATGTGGCTGGCTGGCTGTCCTTCCTAAGGATCTCCCTTCCCCATTCCTGTTTCTTATTCACCAGGTTTTCTTGGACATTGTTCTTAACCTTGCTATGTCCCCGTTCTCCTTCTGGGTGAAATGGGGTTACAAACACACCCCCCTCCAGGAGTTGAGGATTAAATAAAACAAATTTACCTAAAGCCTTTTGTAGAGTACCTGTCACAGAGTAAATGTCCTATTGTCCTTTGGGGGTGGGGGGGTGGGGGAAGGTAGCTTTAAACTTAAATTTGATTCCAGGCCCATCCTGACCCCCAAATGCCCTTTCTTCTCCCACTCTTCAGAGTAGCTCTCGTGTCAAGTCTCTCCCTTTCTTCTGTAAGGTGGCTTTGCCCATATTACAGACTTTTCAACCTGACTTGCATAGGAGGTAAGATTTCCCAGACAGATAGAGGAAGTGTGGGGGGCAGGAGGCGCCCGTGCGTTTGGGTCTAGAGGTGAGTACTTGGCTTTTAAGCCGCTTGTGCGAGGCGCCGGCCCGCTTCCGTCTCCGGGAGCCGCTCTCCCGGGCGTGCCACCGTCCTCCGGAGGCTCTCTAAGTGGCTCTCTTTCTTTCGCTGCCAGGGAAGAAAAATTCGATTCTCCTGCAGAAGTTCCAGAAGGATCTGAACACCGGTGTGTTCAACAATCAGGAGAACGAGATCCTGAAGCAGATTGTGAAGCACGACCGCGAGATGGTGCAGGCGATCGCCCCGATCAACTACCCCCAGATGACAGCCCTGAACGCCACCTCCTCCACCGCGACTCCGACCTCCCGCGCGAGGACACAGTCCCCGCCGGTGTACACTGCGCCCAGCCTGTCCCACGGCAACCTGCATTCCCCCAGCCCCAGCACCCAGACCCCGCAGCCCTCCGCCGTGCTGTCGCCCTGCTCCTACACCACCGCGGTGTGCAGCCCGCCCGTCCAGAGCCCGCTGGCCGCTCGAACTTTCCACTATGCCTCCCCCACGGCGTCCCAGCTGTCGCTCGCGCAGCAGCCGCAGCCCGCGCAGCCCCCGCAGCCCCCGCAGCCCGCGCCGCCCCCGCAGCCGCAGCCGCCGCCGCAGCCGCAGCCCCCGCAGCCGCCGCAGACGCCCGGCAGCTCCACGCCGAGGAACGACGTGCACAGGAGCACCCAGGCGCTGCACAACGCCAGCCTGACCCGCGAGGTCAGGCCCCTGTCGGCCTCGCAGCCCTCGCTGCCCCACGAGGTCGCCACGCTCATGTCCAGACCGCACCCCACTGTGGGCGAGTCCCTGGCCTCCATCCCTCAGCCCGTGACAGCTGTCCACGGCCCGGGCCTGCAGGCGGGGGGCAGGGGCACCGTCCCCCAGCGAGTCACCCTGTTCCGACAGATGTCCTCGGGAGCCATCCCCCCGAACCGAGGAGCGCCCCCCGCGCCCCCTCCACCAGCAGCGGCTCTCCCCAGAGAGTCTTCCTCAGTCTTAACTGCAGACCCAGAGGCCGAAAAGCCACGATTTGCTTCGAATTTATGATCCCTGCTGATTGTCAAAGCAGAAAGAAATACTCTGATAAACTGAGAATCTTCTCAGATCCTATTTTATTCTATCTCCTGATAGATTCCTCTAGCCTACTATGAAGAGATATTTTAGACAGCTCTGGCCTACACGCAAAATGTAAAATATATAAATATATATCTACTATTCAATATCTATCTAAATTCCCAAGAGAAGTTCAAAAGACCTGTTTAGCATTCAGTGTTATATGTCTTCCTTTCTTTGACTCATTAAAGGATTTAAAATGTTGTTGTAAGATCATTTATTTTTAACCTACTTTTACTGACTTCCTTTGATATGTGTATTTCTTCTACTTTATGAGGAGTTCTTGGATTCGGTGGAAACAAAACTCTGATTTTAAAAGGCAACTCAAGTGAGCTACTGAATAGCACCAACTAAAACTTCTTTCATTAGCTGTGTCTCTGCATCTAAATTGTTAATCATTAATTACGGAGAATCAAATAGCGAATCCCATTTTATAGATCTAAATTGTATTTTGGTGCTTTCAATTTTGAATTAGGTTACAGAACACACGGGATGCTTGGCCACGGTTGGAGACTAGCATTGCCACTGTTACGAATATCTCTAACCTCAGACACGTTCACTGATCTTTCAGAAAGCTGAGGGGATATTTGTCTTCATGTGTTATCGGACTTTTACCAAGACTCAATCAATGTTAGTTGTAAATAACTTTTTCAACCCAAATAAAAATAGCTATTCTGTGCTGTATGAAGGTAAAAGTCATCACTCAAGAATTTAGTTTTATTGCTTCACTTCAAAACTTAGAGTTTGAAATTTTACAAAACCTAATTGTAGCAGTTATTCAACTGTACTGCAATGGCTTGAAACCTACAATATTATTTTAACCTGCAATGTTTTATGCAAAACTGTATGCTCAATTCTACAAATTGCTTGTATTACACCAAAAATCATTACTTTTCTTCCTTCTTGCCATAACCAAGCATCTGAAAATAGTCCCTGCATGCTTTTTGGGAAAAAAAAAAAAAAATAGGTTCAGATCAGTCACTGTAGGGAGAGGCTTACAGTATTTCTCATTTCTAGAAAAGTATAACCATTCATTAATTGCCTATCTTAAAATTCCTATAAGGCTGACTTGGATCTCTGACTTAAGTCTAGAAGTGAGGTTTTCACTTTCATTTAATATTATTACTATTATTACTATTATTTAAATGATGATTTGTAAACCACAGCTTGATTTGGAGTTGCCAGTGTGTTCTGTGTCTTCACTGTTGATAGTTGGTAGTTTACCTTGGTGTTAATTTAAAATAACTAAACACATGATAGCATCGTGTCTTTTTGGGAGCACACACTTTGTTCTATGTATATTGTAATAAAATGGTTAGTAAATCTTAAGGCATGTGGTGACTAACATAGCCCTTAGATAGGAGGTTTGTTATTCGGAATGTGCTGGAAAATGTATGGACGTGATGACAGAAAGCCAGGGGCAAATTGAATGTGAGCATTGTTTGTTTGTCTGTTTCCCTAACTCTCCATGACCTGTGAACATCTGCTTCTTCTCAGAGAAGTCCCTTAGTAATCATTTGTGCCTAATGCACCCCACAAATGTGGTGGATGACTGGAACACAATTGGAAGATCCCTAATAACCGACTTCTGTAAATAACCCAAGTTAAGAGGATGACCTAAAGTGGAGGTCTTCAGTATCTTTGACCCTGGCGATACATTTAAGAAGAACCTAACAAGATCACACATTCAATGGGGCAGGGCCTCCAGACAGACTTGAGGACAGAATACAAAATAAAAGCAAAAACTCTAAAATGGATCCATGCTGCCTGTTATGCCTTTTACGGATATAATACCTATTATACCAAAATGAGTTGTTATGTTTCATTTCTAACAGATCCCAGCTTGTGTGGAAGTTATCAACAATGCTAGTCAATGTAATGTTGTCATTAACATGCTGGTGACATCTGATGGCATGTCAGGACTGGTGTAAGAAGGGGATTGTTCAGTCTCCCTAGAGCCTTTGGGAAAGCTGCAAGACCATTTACATATCAGTACAAAACTCCTTTATTTTATTAAAATATTGAGAATTAACTTCAATTTATTAAGATCATGTATTGGTCCTTTAAATTATTAAAGGTTTACATTTGATAGCACTAATGGGTTTGGTAGTGAAATATTTTTATATATAAATCTTTGGTTTTTTATTTTGAGCACTATTGGGAAACATAAGCAAAATTGAATTGCATGGTCTTTCAGTGCAACCATAAAATTTTTATTCACTTTGTAACAGAATGGACAAAAAAATTAAGGTTTATATGTTAAACTAATAAAATGGCACAGGGTAAATTATATACATATATATGAATGAATATATATGCTTAGGTTAAGAAAAAAAGTTGACTCACATTCCTGTAATATAAAAGTCCATTGCTAGTTGAAAAGTGACCTCTTTTCTCTGTACATAGTCAAGCCCACAAGTATGGAGTTTTAATCTGTACAGAAAGAAATGTATTATTGAAAAGGTTGGTCTCTCTGCTGCTGGAAAAATAGTAGAATAGCTGATTCTTAAAACAACTGTATGTCAGGGACGAATTAGAGTATTTCTTTTGTCTTTGCTCAAAGCCATACATATATAAATATATATAAAGATTATTAATAAATTCAACAGAAAATAAACTAAAATCATGAATATTTTATTTTATCAATATACTCTAATCAAATGTTTTGTTTTATTAATGAGTAAAGATTTGCCTCTTCTACCTTTACCTCATAAGATTTCCAAGAGGGCTTATATTTGACAGTCATTATAAAGTTAATTATAGCCTATGACAGTAGTGAGGAAGGTAAATAGAACATGGGTCTCCCAGTTATCCCTGTGTTTTACTTCTTTGTGTAGTACTAGATGAAGTTTTTAATTCTGTGTGCCTCCTTAACATGTGGTTGTTGCCCAATTCAAAAACACAGTCATTTCTGTGCTATTAGATTTAGAGATGAAAAAAAAAAAGTGACCCGATAATTTATTATACAAACCTCATTTATGATAGCCGTGGGCCTTGCAAAGGCTTTCAGTGATAGAGCCTCCCTTTACAAGTGGATTTTGAATCAGATCTAAAAGAGCCTGACATAGAGTTTATTGCACAGAATGAAGAATTCTTGAAAACTGTAAGGACAAATGGCAGGAATGGCAATAGACTCTATTCATCAAATAAATAGCCTGTCTCTGGGTCTCAGTGACCACTCCATAAGTGAATGATTCCCTGACGGACACCATCCCACTTTTAAAAAGGCAGTTATTTTGCCATCTGTAAGCTTAAGTGAGCATAACATCTGCAAGACACTACAAAGTTCACAGTCAAGTTAGAATAGTTCCTAAAGGACTTGGGTGATTTAAACAATATGTGTGTTTTAAATTTTAGATGCTATTATTTCAAATCCCAAGTTATTTACACTTTAAAATAGAAGTGATCTCTATCCTCTTTCAGGCCTATTTTTTTTTTAATCTTCATGACTTCTTTTTAAATTTAAGGGTTTATATTTCTTAATTTTATAATTTTACTATGCTAACTTGCTCTTACGAGTTTTACTTTCATAATTTATGACATTGAGCTGTTTGAACAAGATTTACCTCTCTTATGCCTCTATCCTTCTAGGATACGGGTCTAGTTGTTTTGCTCGTAGAATTGCACTACACCTCGCAAAATTTTAACACATGCTCTTCCTAGTTGAAAATTACTTATTCTGTGCAATGCAAAAGAAATGGAGTCCTCATAGAATAATTGGATGCTGAGCATCAATAGGATAGGCATTTTGAGTCCTGAAAGTAATGGTTGCAAATTTAAGCAAGTGTGACCGGCTACATGCACTGAATTGTTAGCTCAGTTCTATAGCTTTATTAATATGTCCTTTCTCCAGGAAAATAAGATGAAATAAAGAAAATTTGCTTGTATTCAGAGTTAAGTATACCTGCTACTGGCCCTGAAAAGTAGTGACTTTCTTAAGCAATTTTGGTTCTGTCCTTTTTAAAAATGCCATCTATTTTTTATAAACTGGCAACAATGAATTCAATCATGAAGAGAAGGCCTGCTTTTAAAAGGGAGCAAAGAAAGTATAAATTACTCTACCTAAATTCATCAAGGATGTAGGAGCAAATCCAGTGAGAAGACTCCTATTCCTCTTCCCATTTTAGAGTTTTTTGACCAAAGGCCACATTCCTTCCTTCCCCAGGGACAATGGACATTTCTGTGAATATTTGTCCTTTTGTTCTTCATCATTTTCTTTATCACTCTAGGACATGTGAAGCATGAGCTTTTCTGCATAAGAATAATTTTGTGGCCTATTCACAAATCTATAACAAAACAAAGATAATTATATTAATTATTTAGAAGAAAATATTGGCAGTTTTGTTCTTTTCAGGTTTTGAATACTGAAATCATTGTTCCCTATCCCCCAAATTCAAGCATATTCTCTTCTGTCACTGAACGATCAGATAGGGAGCTGGTCTCCCTCAGCCAGGCAGCACGAGCTAACATGAGGAAGGCCTCGTACACAAAATCTGAAGTGCCAAAGCTCTCAGCAACCAAGGCAAACAGTATTTTAATGCAATGTTTAAAAATAACCAAAGTAATAATCAATGACGAACCGAATGTCACAATACGATCTTAAATGAAGACAAGATCCAAACCTGTGCTTCCATGACTTGCCTCAGTTGCCTCCCTCATCCTGATCCTGCTTCCTATTGAGCCTCTGATGGGACAAAAAGGGGCTTCGAAGTGTTTCTGTGTCAGAGACCCTGCCCTTATTTGCCCCCATCACACCCTGAGAATTATTTAAGTCGATATAAAAAGGTCTTGTCCATAAGGTTCTGGATTTGTTTCCAAGAGTAATGTGTGAAATGCCGGACAAAGAATTAACCTTTCCTGACAAAGGAAACGCACTTTTTAAAAATATGGATGTTCACCAGAGCAGGTGATTGGGGCCATGGGCATTTCATTACTGCTGGCCACTATCTTAGGCCAAAGAAGAGCATAAAATGAATGGGAAATCCGGTTTTAAACCTCCTAAAGAGCTTTTAATATTGGACCAATGGTGTTACAGTTTTATGCTTTGTCTTCTTAATTTTATGAAACCAAGATTTCCAGTTGAGTGGATACATGTTGAAATGTGTGTTTTGCTAACATG